GAAAACAAGTACATTTTCCCGCAAAAAAAATCAAATTTTCAATTCAAAATCACTTTGCCGAACGTCCCACAACAACGTTTCGAACAGCGTTCGCATTGCTGAACGCCCCACGACCAACATTCCGAACCGCGTTCACGTTGCCGAACGCCCCGTGACCAACGTTCGCATTGCCGAACACCCCACGACCGCGACTACAAGCATAAGAGTATTCTATAAACTACAATTATAAGTCCAATTCACATGAATATATACAATCCATCATTAAATATACAAATTCCATACACATTGTTATCAACGTCCTAAAGCTAACCTTTCAGTCTCACGAAGGTGTTGGTACTGAGGATTTGTACCTAAGTCAGACTCTCGGTCATGGTAGGCGCCTCTGACGTGTACAATCTGGTCCAATGTGAAGTTGCAAAGGTCGCCGACGAGCTCTAAGAGTTGGTCATCCTTGTATGGGTCTCTTTTCATTCCTTTCTCTTCTCTCCACTACAAGAAAACAAGTTTTAGTTTAGTATTTCATACCATTTACGAAGTTTTTATACTACGGGTGAAGAGGTTCAAACTTACCCTTTAAGGGGTGTCTCTGTGAGACACCGGTGTTACCCATCATAGAACATATATAGTATCCACAATGTACACTCCCGTGCTTCGCTTGGGGTAATCGTGTGTTTTGCATATGAAAATGTTAAGTAATGCTTTTGATGACCATGTAACGGAGTCTTCAAGAAGTAAGTTACACTTACCGCACATAGTGTTTTTATAGCCGACTTTTTTTCTTCCTTTTTGGATCATGCCTTCCATGATGATTAGTGACATAGAACCTAAATGCCCTGTTCGAATTATTTTAGCAAATACAACTTGTTAGTATCCAAAAGTGAACGTTACAAGTATGTATACAAACATATAAGCTAATGAGGATTGTCGATATGTATACGTCTTGAGAATCGATATGAAGTCTTTGTATGTCACCGTGTCCTTATCTAATGAATCAAAGACCCATGCCATGCTCCTCCCCGACATCGACATGACTATACAAATCCGATGAGTTCTTTGCATGGATTTAATCATAGAACTAGATAAGCCCTTTTGCATCGAATGAAATATATCGAACAAAGCTTTAAGTATAGAGTTGAGCTTACTCGAAGTTGTATGGTAGCCATATAGTAGAGTGGTGTTGGAGATTTTTGAAAGCCAAGGCAATGTATGCCGCAACCTTAAGGGACTCTTCCCTTAGCCAAGACTACTGGATGCGCTCTTTCTCCCAAAGAGTCTTTGCAATTGCTAGCTCTTTGGCATCCAAAGGTCCACCGTTTAGGGTAATTAAAATTTGTTTGGGCTATAGCTTGAGGGTCTACATACCCGGCTTTCACGCTTGGCATTTGTTTGACAATGTGCACTTGCATTCTACAAATTATGGCATGGGTTAGTTACAATAAAATTCAAAGATTACATTCATATCATATCGGGAGGACAAGGACTTACAGCACCACGTATGAATTAGATTCATCTCCATTTCTCCTGGTGAAAGCATGTGTGCATGTCATTGAAGTCAAAGACAATTTTCCGATTGGGCTTCCAAATGTGCCGGTGGGAAAGCATGCTTGTATGATATCTATGCTCGTTGGGAGAACACATAAGTACCAATCATGGAACCTTCTCATTCCAAGTGGTAGGTATTTGGATGTCCCGGTTTGGTAGGAAGGGCTTGCCTCTTTCATATTTTTCGGGCAATCCTTTGACCATTCGATGGCATCAACATTTGGATACTACTTTTGCAATTTGGTGAAGTTTGCTAACGACGGCCTCCTCGTAAACCCCGTGATGGGACTTTTTAACTTGGTTTTCAGGCTTGAACCGATCATGGGAATACCACTTGGACACCGACGAGGCGTCTTTGATCGGAACATAAACTGGCCTTATGTGGATTGGAATCTTCTTTCGCAGTTCCCATTCAAGCACGTCCTCATCTTCTTGTGCATCACCTTCTTCAGGAGGCACTCATTGTTCATGTATCGGTTGTGCTTGTTGAGAAGACTGTGGCATCTCATGATGCACTTGCCCGTGCAGATGAAGCCGGAGAAGGTTGTGGCATCTCATCGTGCACATGCTCGATAGGAGGCGGGGAAGAATGTGGCATCTCGGGAATGTGGGGGTCACGAGACGGTGAAAATATCTCCCCGGCCTCAACAACTCGCTCCAAATTTGGGAGAGAGGGAGGCGGCAAAGAAGCAGTCAATATAATGTCCCATTTGTGCCAGAGGATGAACTGCCCCATAACGTCTCCGAGTAACACCAGCCCCTCGGGAGTTGCGTAGTCTATCCTCCACTGCATGAACTCGGGCTTCACTATATGCACCTCGACCCTAGTGTAGTCCGGCGGTATCTTATTATTGTGGTGTAAGCCACCGGGAGGATGTGCAACACCCGTTGCCACCTCCATCACAGTGTTCTGCCGGCCGCTGAGAACACCAAGGTGCAACTAGTAGGTTCCCGTATGAGATCGACTGAGGTTGTGGCTGCAGTGGAACCTTGGCTGCTAGGAACTTTCGGAGGGCTGGTAACTAATGCCACTTCTCCCGGTGGCATCACTAATATACGTGGCTCCATAGACATTCCTTGCTCCTTCAGCGCCTTCGCAACTAGAGCCTTCACTTGGAGCTCAAGACTAGTCTCCCGGTCTCGGCCATGTTTCTTGTACATGTGCCTCGTCCTCTTGAATCCTTGCTTCCGTGTCATCCTTTTCCCTAGCCCCACAGTGCGCCTGTGTGCTCCTTGTTTCCCAAGCCAAGGCTAAGCTCGTCCCTCTCTCTGGAAGGATTGAATGAGCCCGTCTCTTTGTCTTGAAGATATTTGGTATCCTTGATACCGCCTCTTGGGTCTCCGGCTTATCAAACTTAAGATTCTTGTCGGATGGTTCTGTACTCTCGCATATATCCGGTTCCTTGAGCGTACCTTCAACTTCGTCACATCGATATTCCCGATGAGTCTGGCCTCTTCATCCATCTTCCTAAACTGCTCTTCCTTGGCATAGTAGCCACCGGGGCCTAGATGATGGTGGTGTTTGTTCCTCTTTGCTAGCTCGGTGTTACAAGCACTGAGCTCAAATGCCTCCGCTGAAGTCTTCTGAGCCACGAGCTCCTCCCATTGACTAGGAGTTATTTTGCCGAACTCGTTGAAGGGAGTTAACCCCTTTTGGATATATTTCATGTTAAGCTCCGACCTCCAACGTCGAAATGACTCTCCCATTATCCTGATAGCATTTTTTTTACCAATTCGTGCTTACCCTCCGGAAATCTAAAATTGACCTTTGTTGCCTATCCCATAGTGCATTCTTTATGTTCTCTGGTACTCTTTCCGATTAGGGATTCTTTGGGTTCAATTTATCTCTTACTAGGCCCCGATCGCATTACCGAATCGTCCTCTTAATTCCTTCGACTCAAGGATCTCCCATTTGGCCCACCCTCCGTTATCACATAGCAAGCCTTATCTGGATATAGATTTCCTTTTCTATCCCTCGTTTCCTCTTAGGCTTGGTAGTCGTGGTTGTGTCTTGAGTTTGTGGAGCAGAGGCATCGTGATCCGCCTCTCGTGGTTGTTGCCTCTCGCTCTCCTTTTTCCTCTACTCCGTCTTGTCCAAATGAGATGTCGCGGACGTCGACGTCGTCTTTTCTGAGTTTCAGGAGGGACCTGTATATAGGATAGGTCAAAGTGTTAGCATAGGTAACACAGCCAAAGCTTTAGCAAAATTTACAAGCTAAGGCTTCTTCCCTACCTCCTCGTTCGGGTCAAAATCCTTGTCCAAATCTTCCTCCGTTGGCCTCCTTCTTGCTTCAGGTGGGAAAGGATCCTCGGGACTTTCATATCCCTCTTCCGACTCATCATCCTCTTCTTCTTTGCCTTCAATGACCTCTCCTTCGGGCCTTCCTCCTCGTCCACACCTCCTGAGTAAGCATCACTTCTAGATCCTTTTCTACCTCGTTATCGAACTGTTCCTGAGTAAGCTGGTCCTCTAGTGCTTGCTCCTCAAGGGTTGGCTGCTCATCATGCTCGGGGCATCGAGCTGCATGGTCTGTTGTCTGTGACATTACTTCGCGCTTTGTTCTAAAAGATGCAAGAAAGTGTGCTTTAGGTACGCAAGAAGGTATAAGAAATCAAAAAGGTCTATAAACCAAAGTAGTCCTATAAAACAACAATATAAAAAAATGAGAAGTAGCAATGGTAGAGGCCTCAGAAACATGTCAATCATCATCTGATCTTGAACTTGGAGCATCAAGGCATCATAACAGAGAAGAGAGGAGAAGGTAATGTAGGGGCGGCTGCTAATAATGCCAAGTTCCTCACAAGTTCTTGATCATCAGCTCATATTCCATATAATGTATGGACTTAGACAATTTCATCATCGGCAAAACAAAGGAGGGAGAGGAGAGGGAAGATTTGGTAAAAAAAGCAACAATGCTTAACAAAACAGAGAGAGGAAAAGGTGTAAAAACAAAGCATTGCTTGCTTCCCAAACATAGAGGATAGGAAATATGGCAAAAATAGAGGAGAGGGAGAATTGGTAAAAAAAAGCAGCCTCTGCTTCCAAAAAAAGCAACAATTTGCCATCACATCGCCATGAAGTAGTAGACAATAGTAGTAGGGAACTGTTATCTAAAAAAGGTAAGCAAGAAAGAAATATATTGTGTAAGTTTATAAATAACAAGGTGTAGATAAGCAAGAACATGCACTTATATAGAGAATGCAAATATATCGCCATCAAGTAGTAGGTAAATGTGCTAAACTCATAGAACATGCACTTATATAGAGAAACAGTCACAATAAATCTGTATAAAAGAAGAAAAAGAATGTGTTAGCAATGCCATAATCTTTTGGTGAGCATTTTGGGAAAGTTACCCTTAGTGACCTAACTCAAGCAACACGGGACTTCTCGTAATCCAACCGATTGGGAGAGGAAGCTATGGTTCAAAGGTCTGAGAGGAAAGTTGAAGGAAAGCAAAATGGAAGTGGCGGTGAAGGTTTTTGATCTTGAGATGCGAGGTGCGAAAGAAGCTTCGTGGCAGAGTGTGAAGCACTTAGAAGTATTCGGCATCATAACCTTCTTCCAATCATAACTGCTTGCTCAACTATAGATAATATAGGAAATGATTTCAAAGCTTTAATTTATGAGCTCATGCCTAATGGAAGCCTGGACACATGGTTACATCACAAAGGGGACGAGGAGGCTCCAAAACGTCTAAGCTTGACCCAAAGAATAAGCATAGCTGTTAACATAGCTGATGCATTAAATTATTTGCACCACGATTGTGGACGTCCCACGGTTCACTGTGACTTGAAGCCTAGCAATATCCTTCTAGAGGATGATATGAATGCTCTTCTAGGAGATTTTGGAATTGCATGTTTCTTTGCGGATCCTCAGTCAACATGGGCAGGTTCAATTAGTTCGATTGGTATGAAGGGCACAATTGGATACATCCCTCTAGGTAGTTATTTCGGTATTTTTTTTATTGGGTACCTCAAATTTTCCTAGATGAGAAATGTTTATAGCATAACTTCTTTGTGCACATTTTCTTGTTTAATTTAGTATTGCTGGAGATTTTGATAGGCAAAAGGCCGACAGATGCTATGTTCATGGACGGACTGGACATTATCAGCTTTGTGGAGAACAGCTTTCAGAGTCAAATATTTGACGTCATTGATGTTCATCTCATGGAAGAATGCATGAACTTAACTCAAGACAAGAATGTACTAGAAAAGGAGATCAACAAATGCTTGCTGGATCTGGTGCAAGTAGCATTTTCTTGCACGCGTTCATTACCATCTGAACGTTCGAATATGAAGCAAATAGCCAGCGAAATGCATGCAATCAAGGTTTCACAATTGGGATGGATGACGTGTAAGAAGTAGGGGGTATGTGTAATTTGTTCAAGATATCTGGTGAAGCGCACAATGTGCTTCGGACAAGCATGCATTGTTATGACTAGTGTACCAAGTATGGTTATCTTCACCGATCGAAAAATAAAAGAAGTTGTCTATTGATCGCTCAGGTGCTCCCCCCCACGAGGACTTTTTTAAACCAAAAGATCAAAATAAATCCTACAACCAGAGTGCATCGAGCGTAACTTAGTTGATTGGTTTTTATGATGAATCCTCGCTCACCGTGTTTTAAGTCCTCGGCTCAATGTTGGTGCTCGCACTTCTTTGAATTTTTTTCCAAGATCGATCTAGAGATGTATTGGCTTAGCCTCAATCTTTCGAAGATGTTCATAGGATTAATGTGTGCGTATGTTCATAGATGTGTGTGCATATAGTTCAAAACTAACTTTCAGTTTTTATTAGATTAGATGATCCTGAAGCCATATGCTAGCAAAGAATCTCTAAGTTATCAAAATTCGTGGTTACTTCAAACATCCTAACATGACAAAATAAATTCTAAGCGCCTCAGCTCATCCAAATGAGAAAATTGATAGTTTCAAACTTACCATTTGCCAATATCTCTAAAAAAAGAGATAGCAGACTATAGCTTACTTGTACAGTTAATAACCAAAATTGACACAAGTCCATGTTTTAAATAACTAGCAGCCCCACCAGAACTATCACACATCCCTACACATGAAAAATTATCAGAGCAGGTTTTCCATGAACCCTCAAGTAAACATATGTTGAACTCTCTACACACACTCTTCTTACGAAAAAGTAACCTAACCTACAGGCCTATTTAAAAGATAATAGTCCGGCCTTGTCTTTAAGTTAAAATTCACTAACTTTAATCGAATTTGTAGAAAACGTATCAGCACCTACAAGTTCAAATAAGTGTACTATCAAAATATATTTCATGGAGAATTCAATAGAACTAATTTGATGTTGTAGTTATCAGTACATTTTTCTAGAAGCTTGGTCAAAATAAAATAAGTTTGACTTAGAACAAAGCCTAACTAAATTATAATTTGGAACAGAGGGAGTACTTATACTAAATGGCAAATGCATATATTGCAACATTTCTCCCTTGGACACCATATGACTGTACCATAATTAATTAATTACTTGAAGCAGTTAGGTAAATCTGTATACATATGCCTGACAATTGATATATTGCTTCATTGGTGAAAAACTGGTGAAGAAAGTAGATATCACCTTTGAGATGCCTGGTTGCAATTCAACACTCTGACGGCCAACTAGTCACCATGATAAAGTTGAAAAATTTACTGCGATTATGGGCTTTTAATAGGTCACCATTCCATTTGGGACCTACTGACTTTCTAATTCTCAATTTCTCACCATCAAAGAACAACATAACATCTATTCATCATAAATTGATTAGAACAAAACCAATATGACCAAATTACCATAGCAAAGGCAAAATTAACAGAACAAGACCAATCTGGTTAAATTGCTGTTGCAAAGGGTTTTTTTTCCCTCTGTAGAGAACACAACACCCAAATCAACATCACAAATTTGACAAATTGTCTAAATTTGCCAAAGAAGATGGCAGGGGACTCACCTCGGGGAGCCACCGCCGTCCCGATCCTCGGCGCCGTGAGCACGAAGTGGCGGAACCACCAAGCACAAATCCTCGAAGCTCAAGACGAGGCCTCGCAGCAATGAGGCGACAAAGTGCAAAGAGGGAGTAGAACTCAGACGGGGCGGCGGCGCCGGGGGCGGGCGCTGGACGCCGGGTCGGCCGGCCGTGGGGGGGAGGGCACAGGGGGGGCCGGGCGCGAGACGGTGGGTCGACGCCAGGGGCAGGCGCCGGGGCCGGTAAGTGGACGCCGAAGCCGGGCGCCGGCATGGGCATGGGCACGGGCACGGACCTGGGCTGGTGGGCGTGGCGCCGAGGGCCGTAAAAGTGGGACGCCGAGAGTCAGGGGACGGGTGCGGGACACCGAGCGCCGGGCGCCGGGGGTGGGCGAGGGCGCGGGGGCGGGCACGGGACTGGCGGCGAAAACCCTAGGCGCGCGGGCAGCCTGACGGCGTTGGTGGAAGAAGTCAGCGCCCAGACTGACTCCCGTGCGTCGGTTCTCCTATTTATACTCCCTCCTATTTGTAGGGGCGGTTCCTGATCTAGCCGCCCCTACAAATCCATTTTTAGGGGCGGTTCCTGATCTAGCCGCCCCTACAAATGCATTTGGTCAAATGAAAAACAACATTTTAACTCTAGTATTATGAACTCTAAATGACTTCAAATTGAAAAGTTTTGAATACCAAGTTTGTTAAATGAATCAATATCTACAATTGTTGTTTTGGTCAACTTTCCATTTGAGAAAGTTTGGACGGTTCAAATTTGTGATTTTTAAATTTCAACGCCTACAAACTAGTTTTCGGAACCCTAGGTTATCTCAAATTGAAAAGTTTTGAATACCAAGTTTGTTGAGCTCATCAAGATCTACAATACTTATATAGTCCATTTTTTCATTTGAGAAAGTTTGAACAAAATGTAGTTCAAATTTCACAAGTGTGTGACATAGTTGCAAAAAGTCTATGAGATTCAAGAATTTGTGACTAGTGTTTGATAAAACTTTCTCAAATGCGAAAATGATCTATGTAACAATTGTAGATCTTGCTGAGATGATAAAACTTGGTATTTAGAGTTTTTTCATCTGAGGTCATGTAGTGTCTCATTTGAGCAAGTTTGACCAAGTCAAATTTGGTCAAATAAAAAAACAACACTTTGACTCTAGTATTATGAACTCTAAATGACTTCAAATTGAAAAGTTTTGAATACGAAGTTTGTTAAACGAATCAATATCTACAATTGTTGTTTTGGTCAACTTTCCATTTGAGAAAGTTTGGACGGTTCAAATTTGTGATTTTTAAATTTCGACGCCTACAAACTAGTTTTCGGAACCCTAGGTTATCTCAAATTGAAAAGTTTTGAATACCAAGTTTGTTGAGCTCATCAAGATCTACAATACTTATATAGTCCATTTTTTCATTTGAGAAAGTTTGAACAAAATGTAGTTCAAATTTCACAAGTGTGTGACATAGTTTCAGAAAGTCTATATGAGATTTAAGAATTTGTGACTAGTGTTTGATAAAACTTTCTCAAATGTGAAAATGAGTTATGTAACAATTGTAGATCTTGCTGAGATGATCAAACTTGGTATTCAGAGTTTTTTCATCTGAGGTCATGTAGTGTCTCATTTGAGCAAGTTTGACCAAGTCAAATTTGGTCAAGTGAAAAAACAACACTTTGACTCTAGTATTATGAACTCTAAATGACTTCTGGATGTTGCAATAGAGTGGATGTTCAAATAGAGTCATCTGGATGTTGCAAAGGGTAGTCTCACACACATGCATAAAATGTAGTCTCACACACATACAAAAATATGTAGTCTTACACACGTACATAAATATATAGTCTCACACGCATGCATAAATGAAGCCTTACAAACACACACTTACACAAACACTCCACGTTCAACAACTAGCTAGCCCGCTGTAACGACTTTCCCCTTGACACCTTTTCGTTCCCATGGCATTATATCTTTGGGGAGGTTCTTTTCCACAACACTGATCTTCTTAGGAAAGTCTGTGAATAGCGGCATCTCATCATAGTTATTGTAAGCTTCAACATCGTCCACGCCATCAACTCCAATAATGTGTTGTTTTTTTAGGAGGCAACCACGTGCTTTGTCTTCTTCTTCGGGGGGAGGTTACTTTGTGGGTCGACATATAGAAAACTTGTGCGACACGTGAAGCGAGCACCCAAGGGTCATCTTGGTAGCCTAGATTCTCGAGGTCCAGGACTCTCAATCCGATCTCGTTCAGCTTGGTGTTGTTTGATCCAAGAAACATCGAAATAGGGCCACCGTTATATCTCTTCCATAGTCAAGTTCTCATATCTCTTCAATGATGCCAAAGTATTGGATCTTTTCGCCCTAATCCATCGAGAGCCTCTATTGACGCCGCTATTTTGGTTCACATATTTACTATCCTTTGCGTGGGTATAGTACGTGTACCCATTGATGTCATAAGCATTCCAAGATGTCACTGTCTCGATGGCCCCTCCGCCAACCTACATCGATGGTAATAGAGTCTATGGTTTCTTCAAAGCGGTATGTTTTGGTCCTTCAACCATATAGTTAGTCGTTGCTTGTCTTTGTTTCATGACCCAATCATCCGAACGGCCATTTCTCTCCGCCATAATGATAGCCAAGTGTTCATCAATATACGGTTGCATCGGTTGTGTACTCGCAAGACAATCGTAATGCGCCCGACTCACCTCTTTGTAATCATGGTCGATGAACACTTTTCTACCACTAGTGCCCTTCCACCAATGACCTACCCTTGTGACGAGAATCGGGTTTACCAATCCCTTTCTCAGACTTTTTAGGTACTCTTGACAAGACTCGATGACTTCTTCAAGATCTTTGTAACCCTCTATCATGGAGCCCTCTCGGTATGCTCGATTATGCACGCGTATCGACTTAAAACCGACATGAACCGCTCATAGGACCACATTTCATGCAAGTAGCAAGGGCCAAGCACAGATGTCGATGAACCATGTGAATCATGAGATGTGGCATTATATCAAAAAAGCAGGAGGTAAACACATCTCCGATTGGTTTTGTGTCACCACCACAAATTCATGTAGGTCACTCGGCTCTTCCTTGCCAATCGTCTTACGTGAGATCTTGAAAAGAAGTAGCACATGCGGTGATGGCCATTTTCAAGAACTCGGCTTTATAGCCACGATTGCAATAGGTAGAAACACCATCAACATCACATGGCAATCGTGAGCCTTGCAGTGTGTTATTGATAAGTCCTTCATCGACACTAGCTTCTTCACATTTGCTGAAAACCCAGTCGGGACTTTGATCCCCCTTAGGAAAGTGCATATAGCTCTCTTCTCGTCTGGTGTTAGGTTGAAGCACGCCGCGGGCAGAGTGTATTTTCCATTAGCCTCA